TGGACTTTACTAGTTGTAAAGATTTTGCAGAATTGCGTTTCTTGGTACATTTAGTATTGTACTTAGGTTTGTTTTTTTTGTTTTGTTTGCATTGTGCATGGCCAGTGTGTTCTTCTTAGTTATCTAGTCTTTAATTAATGAACGTCATTAAATGTTACTTGGCCTATTTCTGACTATAAGTCGAATGAGAATGATCGCCTCAGCCTGAAAGACTATTCTTTTTCAATATTAAAATTCGATTAATATCATTAAAACTGTCAAGCGACCAAGACATGGCAAAAACCTTTTCTAAGATTACTTTCAACTTTTTAAGTTACTACAATATGCAAAGTGAAACAAAGTATTTTAAAATTTAATACAAAACAATGCTTTGTGTGGTATTTTGCAGAACCGATTGAACTAAATTCCATAGCTTAATCATTAAAATAAAACATTGCAACCACAAAAACGGCAATCAAATTATAGGACCCAATATGTGGCTGGAGGAACCCCTATTATAATATAATTAACTAATTATAACCGAGACAAAAGGTCCTCGTCTGCTTGAACCCGGAACCCTTGGCACATGATTGTATTTTCTATCAACCCAGAGATGAATCATTTGGGATCGGTAACAGTTACTGATCAATTTCGGCGAATCTCCTTATGTTTTTATTTTTATTCTTAAGAAACAGACCTTAGTATGTAGTCCTTGGAACCACAGAAAATATGCGAAAGGAACTCTTTCATCAAGTAGTATTTATTAGTTGTAATTGCAGTGTCATTAGTTTAACAATATATTTAAGCAAAATAACATTTTGATCCTGCTCAGTAGTTGCCGTGGTGGCCCAGAGGTTAGGCACCCGCGTCTTATAAGTGATGGTGCGATATCGAGACCTCACATGATGTGCCATGCGATCTGTTCCGAACTATATTAACTTTGTACGTTTGTTTAGATACCACTGATTGAAGGAAAACATCGTGAACTGAACTTATAATATGTAATTAATAGTTTTAAATTGCTAAACCGGCTTGAGCAAGCATGGGTATTCAATCTTATTTTTTCTACGTGTCAAAAGAGGTCTTTGCTTGGCAATGGCACTGAAATTGACGGCGATCGAAACGAGACTCACATTTATGGTGTAAAAATCGTCAATTTCGTTCTCTCGTTACCGACCAAAAACGGTTTAGTCTCGTTACCGACCAAAGTTTGGTATTTCGGATATTTCGTGTTAAATCAAATAGTTTTTGCATGCATGCTTTGTTTTAGCAGGCATACGCATAAAGTCTTATCGGTCGAGTCATCTACAAGGCGCAAGTGAGAATCTTTAAAATTCTCAATGTGTCGCGAAATGCCCATATCTAAGAATATAAGCCAACAGCCTTCGTCAAACGGGTTTGCAATGGCACATGTGGTCGCAACTATCCACATAATAAGTGCATCAGAATTCACAACCACACTCCATGTTTATAAAAACCTTTAACTTGTTTTTACTTGCATTTCATTATCTTCTCGAACATTCCTTCGTCCATCCAGCTGTATCCGATTCTTATGACATTTAGTTTAATATTAAAAGGTAGGCTAGAGAAAGCTGCTCGAAAGGACATAAAAAGTTTTCGATCGCCAGATTCCTATTAGATGGAACGACGCAAAAACCGAAGATGCCAAGTTAATTGATAAATTGATGCTGCAGGAAGTAATAATGTAGGAACTGGTTGCGCGGTTGATTTCCTATATTAGATGCGTCCTCCATACGTCTACTTGTTTCTACAATCTACATGCCTTACTAATCTCCCATCGCCTCTATAAGATGAGGAGTTGTATTTCATTATCCACCTTAATGACATTTAAATTAATGTTCCAGTTTTGTAATGGGACTGTTGTTAATTTTTCAAGACCATCATGAACTATGTGTTTATTTTTACGAATAATACGGTTATCTACTAAGCTTTAAAAGTTATTCTATGGCACCCTAGTTTCTGGTTTTTTTTTCTGTAATCCATTTGACTTCTTTAAATCGTTCTATTATGTATATATTATTGTTTCATTTGGTTTATCGTTGCTTTTACATAAACATCTCTCCTTTCACTCATTCTATCACATGCTTATAAAAGAAAAACGGATTTCCTTTTAGCTTTTTCTTGAAAGTGACTCAATCTTCTAAAGAATAGCTACGAGACTAAGACCTGATGTTTGCTTATGTAAGTCTTTGAGTAAATTCAGGGAAGTGGGCGCGTATGTATTGTCGGATATTGTGAACTGAGCCGTCTTTATTTACGCGAGTTATTGCGATCTTCCCACGCCAGACATCGATGCTTAAAAACCTATCAATCAGTCCAGTATAGGATAGATACGTCGCTAAACTAGGCCGAACAAGTCTAAAAACTCACAGAATAGAAATAGGCAAATCGATTCAATGTGTCACATGAACTTGATATATGAGAAAACGAATAAGTAGGCTGATAAATCCTTGCACGTCTCAATATACAACGAAGTAAGTCTTTATAAATGGGTATAATATGTCTGACAAAGTACTCGAACTGACTCATTTATGTACTGAGTCATTTACATACTGAATCCCCACACACGGTATCGAATACAGTCCATATAGCATTACTATTGCGGCCCACACTACAATTAATATTCGAAACTTGTACAATAAAAGTTTCACTTTCTACGCTAGGTTAGATTAAGATGAATAGATAGCTTTAGTATTAGCGAACAGTTTTATAACACTAGATCTATTCGTTATGGATGTAATCGAGGTAAAATTGTTATTTCAGCGTATAAAATTGTGTACGCTTCAATCAATTGGAACACGGAGCCAATAATGGATGGAGTGGGCGACGCTTATGTATGCAATGGAATTATTCTATAAGTCCTTCCGCATTGATACTTAAGGAATAATTTCTTGCTTATTAGGATAAAGTGGCACTTATAAATCACATACACCATAAGATAGTTACTCATTTCGAAGTAAATTCTTCGTAGTCCAAATCATTAAATCATCATCCTAAATTTTTGAGCCGGGGTTACGGGGTAAGCGCAACGAGGCACCGCGACCTCGGCCCAGAGCAGGAGAACAGGGGGGTTTTTAGTCAGTAAGAGTCTGACACTCCCTCCCGCCCGGCCCTGGGCTGGAGAAGTCATTTGATGATTTTCCCCTCACAAAAAAAAACATCCTAAATTGCCCACTGCTGAGCAAAAGCCTCTTTTTCTACGGAGATGGTTTGATTTTGAGCAATAACCATCCCGCTTGGTCAAGGCGGATTGGCAATTACAAACTTATATTTATAAATTTTAAGTCCAGGTTTCTTGAGGATGTTTTCATCAAAGTATCTTCAGTGGTGTCTAAATAATCATAGAATTCAAGGGACCACCCTCTGGAAAAAAATGAGAAATAATTGGCCCTATTTCTATATTCACAATCTCGTATAATACAAGCAAGTCTTGGCTTTTACAAAGCATTAATCACTTAAATGTTATTCAAAAGCTGCGTATTGTGAAGATCCTCTGGTTGTTATTGTTCGCACTGAAGTCACGCGGGCGTGTCAATATTGTGATTGTCAACACTCATAATGGAATATTGCAGTTTATATTCTCGCGCTTTATCAACATCTGTCTGCTTTTCATATTTTCTTGTAAAGGATTCGCATTTTGTAATTCTGTTTGTGTTTTTTGTATACATATAAGTAATTATGTTACTATCCAAATCATCTACTTAATTTGAATTGAACCTTCAAAACAATGATATTTTATCAAACTAATTCGGTAAGGTTTGAAGGTCCTTGTAGCACTTAAAGTATAATCCAGATTTTAACGAATAGATAGATTCCAGATTCTTCTTTTTACATACACTATTTTTGTGGTTTAAATGATAAACCTCTTTATATATTATCTCAAAACGATCCTACAAAGAAACATTGAATGAAAGGATATGGCCTCCCATAGCTTTCTACCACCTGCCCTTAACCGGCTTTAGCGTCAGCATTCCTAGGCAACTCACGCATTCCCGTCATAACACTGGAACAGTTGTCACTGCCGTTTCCTGGCCACGTTCACAATGAATGCAAATTGTCCACCAGTTTTGGTGCCAATTAAACCACGTTTCTACTACGGCAGTGCGTTGCGAACTGAATTTCGTCGCTTTTATTTTGTAACCGCTTAATGTTTAAACATGATCAAACGAGAGTATGTCTTATCTAGTAGGCCTTAGGTTTATTGTTGTGTGCTTTTCACAGTTTCAACGAATACGAAGCTCAGAGATGCGATTTTTAATGGGTTTGTTGAACTTCTCACTTCCATCTTCCGCGTTTACCTGATCTATTGGTAATTCTACGTTGTATCCTGGTTTAATCGGCCCTTTAACATTAGCTGTACAATTTCCTCATTACAAACTATTGTTTGATGTGTGAATGTAAAACATTGTTATTAATTATAGCTTGCATACTTTGTATTGTGTCACAACTTTCGTAGTCTTTTGTTTTATTCCGTGCGTGTATTAATGAATGGACGGTATCTAGATATGAAAATGATGATCCATGTGTTTATGATAATAATTAAGCTGCAGTTATAACTTTATTGATAAACTTGACAAAGACCTACATTTAAAAAATCTTTTAGACATTTATCTTGCTGCACAATTACAAATTAAACATAGAAAAAAATGACATTTACTTACAAAAAAATACAGTGTAGCTGTGGGTGCGTCTCAGTATATGCTGTGCTAATGCACATCAATGATTTTTAGATGGCCCCTGACTGTTGGAGTACCGTTCACGAAATTAAAATAAATGAATTGAATGAAAGTTAAAAAAATATAAGTTAAAAGAATTTGACATTACAAAAACTTATGAGCTTAAAATAACAAAACAAAAAAATAATGCCAAGAGGTACTTTAGTTTACTTAAAAATAATAGACGAGAGGTAGATCGTTGCTACCCTCCCTTATACTGAGCCGTGGTTTTGCCACCATAGAAATAATTAAATTTATTTCCTAACCAAAATAATCTTGTTTCAGATGAAGTCCTCTCGATGCCAGACAAACACAAGTTCGACTCACGAACGTATGTTAAGCCAAAGAAACGAACGCATCGACCGAGCATTCAGAACATAGTAGAAGCAGCCACTCCATCTTCTATGTCGCCTATACCGTCACTGAACACCATCCACCAGTCTAACCAATCAGCGAACAAATATTTGACGTACAACAAATATAATAATCCGTTGGGTCCAATCAGTCCTATGTTGAGGTTAAAGACGTTTAATGTGGATACGAATACTGAGAACAGCCATGCCGTCAAAGAGTACGCGATGAAAAGGAGGAGTTTGGTGCAAGATGATGATCCTCAGGTAAGTCTTAAACTAAAAGCTCTATCTGTCCCTATAATCGTTGCCGACCTTTCAGGGTTTAGGGATTTGGAGATTTAGGGATTTAGGGATTTAGGAGGGATTGGGAGGGGGGAAGGATTGGGCCTCCGGTAACTGGTCCTCACTCACACGGCGAAACACAACACTGTGGTTATTTCACGCCGGTTTTCTGTGAGGCCGTGGTATCACTCCGGTCGAGCCGACCCATTCGTGCCGAAGCATGGCTCTCCCACACTTAAATCTGCCTCCACTGTTTACTATCCGGAGCGTCATTATGCCCCCGAATTCGGAGGACTATCTTCTTCACTTGAGCTGTCCACCTGGTTGGTGAACGACCACGCGATAATCCACTTTCGGTGATCCTAACGACATTCAGTTTTTCCATACTTTTCTCGTCTCTGCGCGCTATGTAGCCGAAATGAGAAGGAATGCGTTGTTATTCTATATTATAGAATCTATCGATCATTTATAAACATAGTCTTTCCAAAATAAGACATTAGTTCTCTTGAATTCCTGCCAAAATCTAGACAGAACCAGATATTTCGAATTAGGAACGTTTATTGATTTAGATTTTTTGTACTGATTATCCTGGAAAATGATCATCGGACTCCGCAAACTATAAAAAGTAATAACGAGCTTGGTAAAACAGAGACTTAATTTTACCTCGTGTCTATTGCAAATGCAATACAAGAACCCGTGATAGTTCCATGCTGGTATTTTCTATGGCACAAAGGCGATTGGCAGACTGAATCATTGTTAAAATTTATCAAAACACGTTAGTATTCAGAATCAATCTGACTATTAATGGGAACACACGCGTGGTAGAATAAACTCTAGTCTACAAACCAATACAATGATAAACGAATGGCTAATATCACTCAGCTCTTGACAGCTACAAAGAGTAGAAGCTGATTGTATGACTAACATTAACACCAAAATTATTCTAAAATGGCCGAAGTTCGCGTGAGATGTTCAAACTGATCATTTTATTTTGCTACGCAAGTTACACCTTTATGCACGTTTTAACGACTGAACGTAAAACCGGAGGTATTCCGTGTGGCTTCTAACTTGCAACAAAAGAAATAAATAAAGGACTCCTCGCCTTTGATGTTAGGTGTTTGACTCTAAATAACCGTAATAAGCGGCGCCATAAAATCTCAATTGTAGTACTAAGCTGGTAAAAGAAAATACGGAACGTTTAATACGCACCTATATTAAGTAAAACAAAGAGCCGTCTGTAGCTGAAGCTTTTACAGTAGGCATTAAACAAATTAGATGCTTTATATTAAAAAGGTTGATTGCACTTCGACCTCTTTCTTGCCCTTGGTATGTGTGTTTTGTGGTGGTCTTGCTTGATTTATCGCTGACAATGGTCTCTGATTCCAGATGTATTATTTATTTAATTATCTTTGTTTATAACGTGCATATATTGTAAGCTAAAACTGTTGAAATGGTTTGACGGTGGGGTTAACGAATCAGTACAGAATAAAATACAATTAAATGAAATTTATTCCTCAGATAACATTTATCTAACTATTGAAAAAATCAGCACTTAAAATAATAGATTCCGCAGCAAAAAAAAAATCGTAGTAAAATGGTATTCTATTCATATTGAGAAAAACGGCGCCACGTTTTGTTTTAAGCTCATTCTCTTTATCAAAAATTGGACTTCGTGCTCACAACGCAAATAAATCAATCTGAATTCCATTCATTCAAAATCAAAGGAATCCAATTTAGTATTCCACACCCTTTCCATAATCTCTACATGATTTACAATTCCATTACAACCAAGGTCGTATTCTGCGTGTCTCATTTATTCCATGAATACCAAGTGCTTGCATTTTTAAGCTATATCGTAAGTCTGGTCTATAGACTGTACAAGTAGATTTTTGTCCGCCGTGATCTCATTTATTATGCAAGTTCATTGTCATGGCCGACGATCGAGATTCGAGGTTGACCAGTGATGAGGCATCAAAATGAAACCGTTATAGAGTATGAAAGTAGGTACCACTTTTGTGAATGAAATGGATTGGATGGAAGAAATTATTATTATTTTTTAATCATCTCTGATTTTACTAGTTAAGAAGGGTAGATGAGAATGAAACTTTACGTCTTTGTTAGTTTCTAATTTGATTAATTTCATCTATTAAGTAGTAACTAATAATTCTATGGTATTATTATATGAAAGGGTGTAAAAAAGTAGACTGAACACCTGAAGACAAGCAATCGGTGGCATGGACAGCCAGATGAGTTGTGAGTGCTTTGTTGGTCAATTAGGGATAAAGGATGAAAGGATTGGGGATTTAGTTTGGGATTTTTCACACGACGAAACAACGCTATGGTAGTTTCATTCAAGTTGTTTTTTTTCTAAGGCCGTGGTACCTCTCCGTTTGAGACGACCTTAGTGCCATAGCATGGTGATTCCACAGATTAATTCAAATGTATTTTTATTGGCGTGACTACGACTCGAATCTCGATATGTGTAGGCCTTCTGACAGCAAGATCGTTTAGTCTATGAAAAGGAGGACAAACTCTTCAACGTGTTTTTCTAGACTGTTATTTTAGAAATCGTAACGGATAAATGTCAACGACCATGAAAATGAGAATAAAACCTAAAACTACATAGACGATACAAAAATATATCGAGAGTATTATTTAGCTTTATAAAGTTGTTAGTGTACTGTGAAGGAAACGGATTTATACGGATGAATGCACCCAGCATCTATTGCAAAACTGTCTTGGACACGTATTGTTGCTGCACCCAGCTTATTTAGTACTAATAAGGCGGAATGAGATATTTGACCTAATTTTCCCTATGCTTAATGCTTATAGGTAATTATTTTCATAGTGTATCTATCGATGTCAAGGTCATTATAATAAGGCTTATATAGTACTGTTTCGTTGGCCAACTAGTCGTGGCTAGTCTTCGAAACACGGTTCTCAGATTCAAACACGTTTTAGGTTCTCAGAAATGCAATGGAGTCTAGAATTATGCCCAATTTGGAGTATTATTCTAGACATTGAACTATTAGGACTTCAAAAGCTTTTGAGACCAATCAGAGAGGTTTTACAATACCGCAAAATAATTAGAACAATGAATAATCTTCATAGGTCAACAATATCGTATTCAATGTTTAAAATAGAAAGCAATCTCGACCTTAATCCACTGCTAATAAGCACTACATGTTCCTACTATTCTCCCCACCATCGCTATCGTAGCTTCAATGAAATTATTGCAAGTGCAAATTATTTATTGACTCACTACAAACACTAAGCTTAAGTGCACCTGTGTAAATATAACACTGTTATGGTATGGAATTTATGTAATCCAAAGTTTATATTATTATTAACATAATAATTACAATGGGTTTATTGAAGTGATTTGTAAATCGCTTTCTCTGGTCTGGTTTTATTGAGTAACGCCCAGGATTTTGCGGTTTTGTCCTCTAATTGCCCCAATATTAGCATTGGTGATATCTTGTTGTAACTCTACATTGTACCTTATATACTCCGCTAGTTAATTTCGGGAAATTCAGTAGAACTATGATTTTTTTTGTGTGGGGAAAATCATCAAATGACTTCTCCCGCCCAGGGTCGGGCGGGAGGGAGTGTCAGAGTCTTGCTTAGCAAAAAGCCCCCCCAATTCCTTCTCCTGCTCTGGGCCGAGGTTGCGGTGCCTCATTGCGCTTACCCAGCAAACCCCGGCTAAAGAATGATACATCTGGGTTTGGCCTTTGGGTTGGACTTAAAAGTGTGCAAATAAAAGTCAAAAATATGACTAACTGTGTAAAAAAAAGAAAAGGAATTCACTACAACAAGGATCACGTAACATTTAACCTATCAATAAAAATGCATAGCCTATTCATATGTAAAAATGTCCTCACTTAACAATTACGTATACATGTGCATGTCCCACTTAAATTCCAATAAGAATAATGACATTCAAATCACGTGCTAAACTGGACTGCTATTAAGTCAGTTCGTTGTACATAATGTACATTTACATATGTACTTAGTTAATACTTACGTATCGTAGGATTAAAGAACGCATTTACCAATGCGTGACCTTCAGAGTACTAATGTATAGAAAATAAACAACAGGGTGATTCACTCAGACATTTTGCACTCAAGCTTGGAAGATAAAACACAAAGAAATGTTGAAAATATTACCTTTAGGATTGGTAATAAGACAAATAAATAATGTTTTTCTGAAGTCTGAATCATTTAAATTAGAATATGATAAAGAATTGCAAAATGATCACCTTTTATATTGTCTGGTTGTAAATTCGACTCGAAGTATGTTTTGAAGGGCTCGTTAGCTAAAAGTGTGTGCCAAAATGGCATTTAAAGTAATGTTTAAAAACATTACTTTAAATGCCATGGTAGATAGCTTGATTTTGTCCCACAAAACATTAGTAGATACAGCACGTTCTCTAATAAATTACAGAACCTTATTCAGTTATGTCAGAGCGTAAAATGATCCAATGTTCCAACGAGAATTACAATACAGTATTGTAATTCAGTCAATACGAAGTCAGTCCAAGTCCTTCAAAGAAAGAACTTGCGCAAAACTATTCCTCTTTCTTTAGAACTTTCCATAGCAATGCCATATAAAAGTATTCTCTAAAGGAAAGTCATTAAAGTTTATTATTAACACTCGTCCTACAATAACCATTAAGTCAATCCTACACAGACTTTCATAATGCGGTCGATAGCCGCTATATAATTAAGCTAGGTTTAGTCTTAGTGGCCTACTTCCAATCTGATTAATGGACGCTACATACTTAGTAGGTAGTATATTCTGTCCGGTCATACTGTTCCGGTATTTGCTGGCAAAATGCATGCGGTAACGTGGATTTTTTTTTTTTTTTTTTGTGAGGGGAAAATCATCAAATGACTTCTCCCGCCCAGGGCCGGGCAGGAGGGAGTGTCAAAAAAAAAAAAAAAAAAACCCCCCTGTTCCTTCTCCTGCTCTGTGCCGAGGTCGCGGTACCTTATTGCGCTTACCCCGCAACCCCGGCTGAACATCAGCCCTTTAGGGCCCCGTCTGTGGTGGTCTATTGGCTCTTTGAGGCGCGCGCGGAACGCTACGCGCCGTACGCTCGGGCCTGGTTCTGGTCGGGCGGCGAGCTGCCCTTACTCGCCGACCGCAGGCCCGTACTTACGGTGGCCGGAGATCGTCCCTCGATCCCCGACGCCCGTAGTGTCGCCAGTTGCGGTAACGTGGATGCGTTTGTTATTCAGCTGTGGGTATGGAGAATATGCTGTTTAAGCCATATCGGATTTAATTTATTGTACTAATTTTATCAAATGACCTTTATAGTCCTAGATTGTCAGACGAGTGGCGAGAAAGAGTATCAGATTGACTTAAAACCCTTGTTTATATTTTTTTTACTCCAGTGCGGGCTACGGTATATTTTTTGCGCTTAACTCTCAACCCTGGAACTTCTATTAAAAGTGTAGTCGTGAGTTTCATTTTTGAAAGAGATTGATTGAAAAAGTGATTGACTGTTACATTTGAATATCATTAAGAATGTATAGATCATATTTCAAAGTCGCCGCCAAAAAGTGAAAACACTTATTTCACTGTGATTTGCAAGTTAACGTGCGCAGATGACACTACTAAACTTGATCGAAAGGTACCATACTGTAAGGATGGGACAGCGACGCGAAATAAAAGAGATGTTTCTTGTTCAAGACTTCGATTTATTATGATCTTAAACTCGTTTAATACATGTTATTGGATACTCCCGTAACGGCATCTAATCAATGCATGCAATAACCGGAGTGCAAACGGCTTTTGACATCACGCAACAAAGCGGACTTGATCTACCGGATTGGTGTATAATGTTAACTACAGGTAGAATGAAAACGATAGTAATACTGACTTATGAAACTTGAAATGGTTCTTAATAAGATTGTTACCGCGGGCTTGCTGCGGACGGCGAGACAAGGGTAGATCGACTATCTCGCTGCCTGACCAGTACCACACGTGTAGATACATACATAAAGACCTAATAGACCATAACAGTTAGGCCCTACGGGGCCGATTTTAAGGCTGGGATTGCGGGTCCAGCGCAATAAGGTACCCAGGCCCCGGCCTAAAGGAGAGGGAACGGGGTGGTTTTTAGTCAGTAAGAGTCTCACACTACCTCTCGCCTCACCCTGAGATCGAGATCACACGTTGGTATGTAGCTTGAAGCGTAATAATTCGCACTAAATAATTTTTGAAATTGGAACGGTTAGTCTATAGGTCGTTCTTCTCCGTTCGAAACTACACTATGGAACGAGTTCCTTGCTTCCCTGAAGAACAGACTAGAATAAAGGTGGACAGTTTAGAATAAAAGTTTTTTTTTTACTTTGAATCAATGAACATTAAAAATAGGTATTAAAATGTTAAGGGCACGGACGTGACTCCGTGGAGATTTAAACGATATAAAAAAATAACTAAACAAAATCATCATACGCCTACGCTTTTGGAAGACGTTATTGAATGTAGCTAATCTTGTGGAAGTGATAATGATCTTGACTCTGGGTTGTAACCTTCTTTTTATTATTGTTCTTTCTAAAATCATATATCTTTGTTTCTTCGAACGTCTAATGGAGTTTCCTTGTATGGATTGGAAGATCGTGTTCTAAAGTTCAAAGTAGAATCTAACGGCAAACTTGATAACCATTTATCATTCGTGATTGACTTGAGACAGATTCTGCGAAGTGTGACCTTGTTCTTGAAATGTTGATGTTGAGTGATAAATGTATAAATATAAGTAGCTACATGGTGCATAAACAAACTTTAGGTTGCTTCAATTCAATATCGGTAAGTCATGAAGAATAATTTCGCGCCAACTGCAATGTATGTTAGCCAAAATCAGCATACAGTGGCGCCAGTAAATCCTTTAAAAAAGTTCTTGACACGCAAAAACCGTAGTGTAGGCGTACCAGCTAATGCACGAACATTATTTTCACTTTTCATCGATGTAAAGACCTTCAATATCGTAATCCTCGCCTCTAAATATAGAGATACCAACATTTTTTCTAAAATAAGTGCATTCCTGACGTAATCTAATGATGTAGGGATGGCGTGTCGCGCGAAAATATAGCGGAAACTAAATTACGTAAGCACAGTTGCGAAACGTATCACAAACATAGTGAGACTTTATATGGTCACTATTCAGTTTTATACATTGTCAAGGTTTTCTTGTGTGTGGCACTTAACAATGAAAATTAACATTGACATCCAAAGGATATCTGCCTTCTTGGTCTAGTTGTTGCACGCATGTCAAGCAAAGTATTATTGACTATTGACCTTTTCGGTTTTTGAGAATTCTCTGTAATAATAAGATCGTAATATTATTCTCCACTTTTATTGGGATAACATCAGCAGGCGATTCAGGAATTCGGAAATTGAGCATTAGGGATCGGGAGCAAACCTTAAAACTACCTGTGGTAGAAAAACAATACATGCTTTGTTTAACGCTGGTCTTCTGTGAGATCTTGTATCACTACTGTCTAACCGGCCTATTTCCCTCGAAGCATGGATTTTACAAACGTTCGTATGGGTGAGGGAAGGAAATGACGCTATATTTTAGTATACTAAAATGAGGATCCTTAACCGTTCAAACCGTTTTTCTGTCTCCAATATGGTAAAGGTATATCAAATAACTTTATCTTTTACAGTTGGAAGATTTGGACGTGACCCTCGCATCGGAGGTGTCGGGCCGGTCGTCGATGGACCACGCGCCGTCCAAGCCCATCAACATCGACCTCTCACAGCCCGCCCACAACTTACATAACACCTTCAACAAGTTAGTATTTTGTTTACTTTGCTAAGTATTTTCGCATGGTTTTGCGCTGTTTTTTTTTTATTTGTTTAGTACAAATATTTGATAAAGTTATTTTGGTTTATAAGTATTACTTTATGTGATAGGACAACGAACGAGCAGACCAATTACCTGATGGTAAGCAATCAGCGCCGCCTTTGGACACCTGCAACGCCAGCGGAATTATGAGTGCGTTGTTGGCCTTTTGCGGGTGTAAGGTTTCTGAGATTTTAGGGATTAGGGAGGAGAATTGTGCCTCTGGTAACCTCACTCACACGGCGAAACACAACGCTATGATTATATTGCTACACGCCAGTTTTCTATGAGGCCGTGGTATCTATCATTCCGGTCGAGTTGACTCGTTCGTGCCGAAACATGGCCCTCCCTTATTTGTAGAAATTAAGTATATATGTATTACCCAAACATGAAACAACGGGTTTATTAAAAAAGTCACTACTCAAATTCCTATATGTTCGCCGTACTTGTAATAAGATGATCCTGAATAATTGCACTGTTATGGTGTGTTCACACATGATCCTCTAGCTGATGAGAAACGTACGCATGCCAAATAAGTAAAACCAAACTGTTTAGCGTGGTTAGGTACGCATATAATTGTATTAGTGTAGTTCACTTAATTTTGTTATCTATTATTCTCATCACATTTTAAGTGTGGCGCTTGCTAATGTCATGTAGGCCCGATTCTTCGCACCCATTCCCAAATGCCCAACAACCCCCTCAAGGCAAGCAAGCTTTTGAACTCCGTTGGTGTTGCAAGTGACGATGTGCGCCGCCGATTTATCATCAGGTGATCTGTCTGCTCGTTTGCCACAGTATCTATAATTTATTAACTAAGGACTAATCGAAACAGCTAAAAATCCGTATAGCATTAAAATACCTTCTTCCTACTTGTGATACTCACTAAGTTTGTGAATGTACGGATGTATGTTTGTTAGTCTTTTACACAAACCCAAGTGAATAGGTTGTTTTTGGGTGATGCTCTATCGTAGGTCGCGTTATCGTTTACCACTAGGCGTGATAGCGGCCAAAGCGGTCTGCCCATACCGAAATAAAAACAAAAAAACTGATTTAGTTGAAATTTGGTATGTAGATAGGGCCTGGATTAACATATAGGCTACTTAAAATACCACGCTGGTGAAGCCGCGGGCGGAAGCTAGTGTACCTACCATATATTTTCGCTCGAGGAAACGTCGGGTACGAGAACATGTGATAAAGGGTTAAACAGCTCAACGCGGCACTAACACCTACTACGCATAATCTAAATGTTTATATGGCTTCTTCAACACGTGCCTTTTGTCGACTACGCTACGCAATATTTCTTGGTACGGAACCTTAGTTTTTCATTGAAAATTAATCAAGTAATTATTGGATGTCTTTTTAAAACTTTTTTCGTATAATTTTGTATTTACTTAAATATGTATATATCAAGGTTGTTTTAACCTTTCAATACTGCCAATTCGAGACACAATGGAAGAACAAGTGTGAGAACGCTGGCGTTCGCTTGGGGTTAAATTATGCGTACACACATCACGTGTTTTTATTGTCTAGATATTTGCTTACGTACAATACTTTCTAAGTTAGTATTCCAATTTTAGTCTTTATAAAAGTTTCTTAATTCTAACAAAATTGGTCATGTTCGTCATCGCCTTTTTTGAAACCAGAGGATTTGAACATTTCAACCACACATTCGAAAAAATAACTTTACCGTTTATCTTTACTAAAGTTTAATCTAAATCGCTATAAAAGATAAAAACGTGTCCGATTAATTAATAAAAAAACAAGAACAGATGTAGCTTGTATATGGAGCTAAAAATAATAAGTGCCGCCTGAGTGACACTTACGTAACAAGTCGATTCACTATTGTGAATCGACTTGTTACGTCACTAATGAGACCGTTTTATGGGCTAAAGGCCGTGTTCTTAACGACTTAAATGTAGATTAACTATTTAAAAAGTCCAAAAATGCTTTTGGCTTTGTTTATGGTGATCTTTATAAAAACTTTTTTAAATCGTAGGTTCTATTGTGCTGGGCTTTTATTAACATACAAGTGTTCGTTGTACGAACACGCCACACAGCATTTGATTGGTTTGTTTGTCTTATTGAACGGAGAATTTTTTTAAATATTTTTCTGTTTGAAACATTACATTAGGCTGGAAGTAGATAGCTTTTAACCAGCTGATGTGTAAGTCATTAAGAGAATCCTATTCCCCTTCAGATTGTGTGACTACACAGTCATTATTGGATGCATCATGATCATTAGCCTATAAGTGCCCACTGCTAAGCAAAGACCACTTCTCAAACGAAGAAAGTTTGAGCACTAATCACCGCGATGATTGCTGAAGGCGAATTCACGATTTCAAACTTATGATTCCAAATAATAAGTTCGGATTTCCTCACGATGTTTTCCTTCACCTAATTATGATTGTCACTGGTGTCTAAATAATCATAGAAGGTACCTAACTTTGAAAAAGTCACACAAATGTTCTTACTACACTAAAGGCCAGGTTTCGAAACTTCACCACGGCCACCATGACGGCAACCACCTTTTAGCAGATTTTTTTTTAATTAGCCTAAATAAATGTAAGAATTATGACTGCAAGGTCTAAAAGCACAAAACTAAACCTCAGTTTTATCTTCTTATTAATTACCGTGCATGACTAAGCATCGGTTCAACATGAGAAAGGGAAAGTAAGAAAAGGCGGATCTAAAGAAAGCGCGGATCTGTTCTTTTTTTGCGATATTACTGAGATGTGACTTTTACTTTTCATGTTCTATGTATTAGTCTATGCCTTAATTTTGAATCTGAATTCGAATAATAGTCTTAGTGACTACGCCACTTTATTTGAATGATAATTACTTGCAAATCTGCATTTACTTTTAAATTTACAGTTGAAATATTTGTAGTAGAATTGAAATGCTTTTCTAACTAAAGAGTGTGTTTTGAGATTTGATGTTATAAATAAAGTTAAAAGCTTACCTACCTCATGAAAGTAATAAAAGTAATAAAAAATTTGTAACGGACTTGCAGTCTATGGACCTTATTACAAAACAAGGTTTTTCTTTTGTCTTAGAAATAGAAGGTAGGTGAAACTACGATTCTAAATACAAAACTGGGCTCAATGGTTTAAACCTAGACCAAAGATAAATCTTGTTCTCTAATAAGGTTAAAATTTATATTTTCAGCCTGCTCTATCATATACTGGATCAAAATTAATCTTAATACTATCAAAACAAAGTTGTTTTTGGTTTAGATAAACTAAAATGAGCCTTATATTCTCGTAGGAACACAGTATGTACCTCAATGGGATTCAAGTATAAAACGGGGAGCTATTCCCCAGCGCAAAACTGGCTTAGTCAATTCATGGCTGATTAGGTCTTTCCAACAGCATGCGAAAGTTAATCTTATAACCTTAAAGACAAAGTTCATTGTTAAATAAGCTCCACTAACATGTCCCTTGTATCCAGGTGGATATACAATTTGTACCTCAATGTGGCTCAAGTCCAAAGGCGGTGTTACGGGGTGACATCCGCGCAAAACCTGGCTCTGCACTGTTTTAGGTTATATTAATGCTTTCTTATGTGGGCGATGGATTGTATTGAATGTTGGGAATGGGATTGTCCATTTTGACCAATATTTTTGCTTAACAGTGCAGCTTCTGTAAGCATTTTTAATTCGCTTGGTTATGTGTTGCGCTTGAATAGCTTTAAAGTTTATGCTTAAGAAACATTTAATCCAGTTAAATAAAAGATCTTAATTTTATAAAGGTCAATAATAAGAAAAAACATAAATGAGTTGTCATTCTGCGATCTCTTTGTTGTCACAAATAATTTAATTGCCATCTTCGGAAATGTGTACACATATGTAGATCGGCCTTTAGGGTGCCCTGAAGTAGATCGAAATGGAAAATGGTTACAAGTCGTGTAGTGTTGTTTATTTATAAAATATGTGGCTTAATAAAGTTACTATATTCATTGTATTTTTTTAGAAAAAAATACATAGTAAAATACATAGTAAAAGTTAGTAAAAGTTTTGTGGCTGCACAATGATTAAAAGTTTATAACTGATATTTTATCTTTAAATAGATTTAAATTTATTATTACGCAACATTATATTTTGAATTAGCTATGCCCACGTTTGCTCTCTCGTACCACATAACAATGTACTTATTTTATCCAATTTTTGTAAATAATAATAACATTTTATTTGTACTCATTAAGTAGTATTGGTTTTATATTTATGTCTATTTTTATATAATTTCAGGGGTCTAACAAATATGATGAACGATCGGCCAAGTCTGAACATGTACCAGAGCGGCGAGTCACTCATGCGCATGTCTCCGCCCAGCCTCGTCTCGTCACTGCTAATGGAAAGTTCTGGAACGTTCAACGCCGAATCTATGGATAGCCGCAAATCTATGCCTTCTCACAAGGATTCAGGTAAGATTTTGGACAAGTATTTTTGTTTTAATAATTTATTTATTTATTTTGTAGTTGGTTGCGTCCTTACAGGATTTTGTACTTGCATTGGTTTTAATTTATCTATGTGTGCAACATTGTGCTGTGAATAAATAAAAAATACATCTCCGAAAATGGTATGGCATTGATTCTAGTTATTACTCGAACGATCTATTCCCTCAATCTATGGTATTTTTTTTTTTTTGTGAGGGGAAAAATCATCAAATGACTTCTCCCGCCCAGGACCGGGCAGGAGGGAGTGTCAGACTCTTACTGTCTAAAAACCCCACTATTTCTTCTCCTGCTCTGTGCCGAGGTCGCGGTGCCTCGTTGCGCTTACCCCGCAAAATCTATGGTCTTGAAGTTGTAATCTTAATCAAACCATGTATTGGTAAGCCCATAAATTAACAACGCCTAAAAGTAAAGAAAGAAAAACCACCTTATCGTTGCTAGTGAGGCAGGGAGAGAGAGGATTAGTATTATGTAGTATCTTCATCATCATCATCATCATCATCACCAGAAGATTCTCACAAGGGGAAGCTTAGAGCATCAATCATCGCAAGGTGGATTGGCAATTTCAAACTTAATGAGAAATTATGAGTATAGGTTTCCTCACGACGTTTTCTTTCACCGTATGTAAGTGGTGTCTAAATAATCTTAGAAAGTATATACATATACAACTCTGAAAGTCACAATAGTACTTGAACTAGTATTAGTATGGATGTTAATAATATATAACAAAGCAATCATAACCATGGTCCACTATACATACTCTTATATTCAGGGCTGTATGACGCAACTATCCGCAACCGAAGTAATCGCCTCACTGGATACCACGTAATATGTAGCTTCGGGAAGTATAATGTCGGTGATTTACATTAAACAACTGAATAAAGACGAATGGTATACTTAGTAAGACGATGGGTACTGCGATTTCTCTTGCTCTTGACGACGTTTAACTTTTGAAATTAAGGTCTAACAGAAGAGGCGACTTGAATGTCGTCCTTATATTCTCCATATACCAAGCGTTGGTAGTAAATTATCATTAATTGCATCACCTTTTTCCTCCTGCAGGTCTTCCAATGTCAGGGCGCGACAGCATCGACCCGATGATGACGAGCATGACACTCAGTATCCTCGACGAGAAGGACATGAGCACCAGCTTCCTCTCCCAAACCACGTACCCTGACAACGACAGCCTCATGGACTCCCTTCCACCCAGCCTCGTCAGCTCTGTCAACTCTTCCTACGTTATCTCCAACACCTCCAAACCTAAAGACAGCACAGACTCCAACATATTCAGCTCAGCGACCTTCACACACCTAGAACAATCAGAAAAACTCCTCTCCGCACGACCTCGGTGCCAACTCTACAACAGCTTCACAAAACGAGAATCTGGCATACGAAACTCGGAAAGCTACACGAAATCCCGCGAAGAAGCGTGCCAAATTGACACGGGCAAAATTCTAAATGAAAACACTGATAAGAAAGATTCGCCCAAAACCATACCCAAACCTAACCCAGAAATGGCCGAAACGATCACCTTACACTACTCTAACAATAGGTTCAGACGGGACAATGACGCTGAGAAAGAAAACTTTGAAACTGACGACGCATTTTACAAGGATATGGGTATGCAGAGGCCTGAGGACGTGGGTCGGAATAGTCTCAACGTGACCTTGGGGAAGCAGGAGTTGAATGAGATTATACAAGCTCGACAGAAGTTGTCACTGGCGAGGAAGGCGCTGCCTACAGAACCGGAGAAGGTGCCACCTCCTCAAGTGGACACTTCCCCTATCAAAACCATTCAGTTACCGAACCAAACTATAACAGTGCCCCGACAGAGTATGGAGAATGCTTCAGAGTTACTGTCAAGGCGGAGAGCTCTTAACGGCAATGGTTTCGATAGACAAGAAGAACCACCGACAAGGGAAACTCCCAAAAGGAACGCTACGTTCAAAAAATTATCACCCAAAGCCAGCGCTATGGACACAACGGTTGTTTACATGAAGGCAGACGATAATCAGATTATAGATATTAATTCAGCAACGCTTAATTTAATAGATGTCGGCGAGAGGACCTTACAACAGGATGCGCGGGTACGTATTTAAAACTATAATTGTTTAAAGTGAAATATAAACATATTTTTTTTAAAAGTCAAAATGTTTTCAGAAGTTTGGCAAAGAATCTCAAAAATCAATCTTGAGATTAAATCGTCATCTGTTGTCCATTTACGGTTGGCGTGGTGGCTGGGCAACTGGCTGCCGCTCAACGTGTCGTGGGTTAGATTCCCGCACAACTTTTTGTGCGATCAACAAATTGTTATTCTGGGTCTGGGTGTGTTGTGTATCTGGTTATCTGGGTGTACGTGCGCACCCACAACACAAAAGAAATCCTAGTGTGGTGCAATGTTTTTAAATAGCAAATAGAGAAAGTATCATTGATTAATGATTATTAGTACATTTTCTTACAAAACCACATTTACTTGCAGGAGTGGGGCTCACAAGAGCGAGCGATGGTTGGTTCTAGCGAGAGTACTGACACGGGCACCTTCAGCTCTTCGAGTCCCCCTGACAGCGTCCCCGACCACGTATCTACGCACGATACACGTAAGATCTCTTCCTATCAACATCCAATAAAGCTAAACGATCATAAAAAAATCTTTGGTACAAAAAACGTATGTCTATCTTCTTTTTTGAAGATTTTGAAAGAAGGTTGGGTAGCTAAAATCATGGTTAAAGATCCAAGAAGGAGTCCAAGATATCATTTGGACACAATAGAAACAATCTGCACATTTATTTGGTATGCAGATAAGAAAATGAAGATGTTACACAAAATTATGTATATGGTGTGAAGCCATATTTCTTTTAACCATTAGTCAGCTTAGTAGCCAATTATTGGTTGCTGTCTGTCTCGTAATTCAATCGTTATTTTCGTACCTGCATAACAAAGAACTGTGCAAACTGTATAAGTTGATATGCATTTATATTATAATGCACGGAGTCTAGAATCATGTTTGGTGTAGGTATGTATGGCAACGTTAATATAAATCGTCAAAAAATCAATGGGTATTTTCACGTGTCGACACATTTGGTGTTTCAGGCTTTCCATTATACGGACCATATGTTTAATTGGTATAAAATATCTCACAGACGCCTTTCAATGCTTTAACACAAAGGTATACGGTTCACTTTCCCACATTGCAGGCCCACAAATAGCATCAACACCGCTCATGTCACTAAGGAAAGGATGTAAAAACGACTTAATGAATCTTCACAATACGATATCACCAATTTATGATATGATAGATGATAAATCGTATACTGTTACTAAAGTACCAAGTTCGACGCCCAGTGGTGCTGTACATAACACGACGGTTATAAATAGTGCTACGTTGGTTAAGAAGTCCGTGAAAAGGGATATTATGGCGGGAAAAGCTAGTCCCGAGAAGAAAATGTTCGCTCCAAGTGTTATGCCGAAACCTACTAGGACGATACCTACTAATGCTGGTAAGTGCTAAACAAGTATAGATAAAATGTTATTATTATTATTAAAAATGATGGACTTCGTTGTATCTTTTACCTTAAAGGTGTGTTAAAACACAAAATTTCCAAACAATAATTATGGGAACTTCTGAATAGAACCGATTAAAAAAAAATAGAGTAAACCATATCACAATATGTTGAGCAAGAGCTTAAAGTGATTAAACCAATTAAAAGTGTCCATACAAACTTAAAATCGTCTAAAGAATGTTAAAAAAATTCACTAATTTACTCTAAAAGATCTTAATATTTTATTCTATACTAGCGGCCCGCCCCCGCTTCGCACGGGTCCAACTACCTCGCTATCAAAGGGTCACTTTTTCCTAATCTTCCCCTCTACTTTTCTAATATTTTCTTAGATAAGAACCTTCTCCTGACAATAAGAAACACAACAAAAAAAGAATTAGCAAAATTGGTCCAGGCGTTGTTGAGTTATGCGCTTACCAACACATTTTGCGATCCATTTTTATATATAAAGATACATTACATTCTGATACGATTTTGTAACTTTTTCATCCAATACCCAATCATAATTTGTTTAATACACAATCAGCACTTTTCATAGCCATTCCATATCCATTATCATATGACACAATATTTGTATGAAAAAAAACAGTACCATTCTGGTATACGGAGTAACAAAGCTGCTAAGGTCATGTCTAAAGTCTCAACCATCTAACTTTACCCTACAGGAATTGGTCAAAAACTATATCTCCTTATTACAAAACAATGTTTATCTTTAGTCTTGGTTTAAACTAATGAGTCAGGTTTTGTATTTTGAATCTTACCTACCAGAAAACCGGCGTGAAATAACCATAGCTTTGTATTTCGCCGTATGAGATTTACCGGAGGCCCAATCCTTCCCCTCCCCCAATCCCTAATCCACACTGCACTCGTAATATAGATATATTTTTTTTTTATTTTATTTTACGTAAAAGGTCGGCAAACGAGCAGAGGGATTACCTGATGGTAAGCAATTAGCGCCGCCGCGAAAAGTTACGAGTGCGTTGCCGACCTTTTAGGGATTAGGGATTTGGAGATTTAGGGATTGGGGGAGGGGAAGGATTGGGCCTCCGGTAGATAAATCTTGTTTTGTAATAAGGCTGAATATGTCAAATGCTAACTTCTGGTATAGAATGAGTAAACGAATCAAACCGCTTTGAATCAATACTCAATATAAAAGTCTTTCTATGGCTATATTCGCTCTGAGTAAATTATACTTGATTAGCTACTCTCGCGCGGGTTCACCCGCTGCTCAGCTCCATTTAATCGTAGTGTGATGTTTTATAGCCTATAGAGCTCAGGAACCTTGTAGCTATCTATCAGTGAAAGAATTTTGGCAATACGGCTAGCGGTTCCAAAGATTACCCCCTACATACAAACTTACAAATTTTACCTCTTTATAATATTAGTATAGATAAATCGACGTTTAAGAAACACGCTTAGAACTGCGAGAAAAGTTTTTAGCATCACTTCATGTCCATTTTCAATTTTATTTTCGTTTATTTGTTTTTATATTATAGCTTCATACGGTACTATGGTTCCTCCTGCCGCCGTTCCCAGGAAAACCAGCTTACCGACATCAAAGTTAAGGCAATACAGTTCACATAGAGAACTAAGCAGGATACCAGGTAAGATGTAACTATGTTTTCTTTACAACCAGTATAACTTGACCCTTGTAAAGTAAGAATAAATTGATAGTTATGTTGGTTGTGCTCGTTTATATTTTTTAATTAATTTTGATTATTCACGACATGATTCATGACATTTTAGTAGCAATTTTATGTTTTATTTGTTGATCTTTTAGTCACAATTTCAAACAGAACACCATGTAAATAATAATCTAAGAATGTAAAGTTGTTGAATTTGCTAGACGACAGTTAGCAACTGAGCTGGCGAACGGAATTATAAAATTATTGACTTTTTACGGCAGAGCCTTTCTGGGCATGTGTATTATCTAACATTTTACAACGAAAAATTTGTTTTCATAATACAAACTTTTATTATGGTGTTTACGATACGAACACCATATTCTTAAAACACAAATATATTTTTACTTTTTTGTAATAATTAAATAAATTTAATGTGCTACGTCACAGGCGGGCCGGTCCCAGCAGCGAGTACAGGACCAGCTCGCGGTGCACTAGGCGGGCGTGGCATCACGCGGCGCGCCGTGTACGCATCCAACCCGGCCCTCAGCCCCACCGCCAGCGGACCGCCCGACCATCCACTGCCCACCGAGTCTTATACCATCGCTACACACCACGTATGTTGTTACCCTTCATCCTGTCGTTTTCGCGATCCCCAGATGGCGCTAGTTACGCTTTAGGACTTAAAAACTGATCTGAAGTTGTTTGTATAAGATTAATTCTATTAAAAAAGATCCTGTAGTTTTTTTAGAGACCTTGGTGCCAAAAATTTAATAGACTTAGATTTCATTTTATTCGAAAGCATGATTCTATTATCTTGGATGATGCCTTCATCAGAACGTTATATTTCTATGCAAGCAAGTGCTGGCATGAACTTCCTTGTCCTAAATCACATTTAGCATCAGCAACTAAATACCGGCGATTCATTATCTACAATTACTACATCAGCTTATGTCCAAACCGTCTTCAAATATTTCAAAACTAACCATGTAAGTAATGCATGTTCCAATGCACTGTCCTATCATCACTTCACATAATATTGCAGAAATTAGAAGATAAAACAACCTCTAAAACCGAGATCCCTCCCACGCCAGTGTTAGTTCGACAAGGCACTGAAACACTAAGAAGAGAGAGACCGCACAGCCAGTTGGTGGCTCCGAGAGACGTAAGTCTTGTGTACATAATTTAAACAAACATCCACCTAACACATTGTTTGAAATTGACCAATTTTCATTTTGCGCAGATAGAATATTGTTGCGCATGCTTTGCGCAAATAGAATAATTTTGCGCATAGTTTGCGAAAGGAAAGTAGTCACTTTTGCGCATCATAGACAGAAAATAACTGTCAAAGCGCAAAATCATTACAATTGGTTTCAATTTATTCTTTAAATAATGGGATTTGATAAGTATTTAAATAGTAACTTGGGTTAAAAAAAAGGTGAAGTACGTCTGACCGTCTTTTCTCATATCGTAAGAAGAAATGTCTATTTAAATTTAAAAGAGTTTTGGCATACTCTATAGTTTATTGGGTGTGTTTACGTGTTAATAATCATGGTGTTGGTGAAACAATAAATAATTTTATGTGTCTGTCATTTCAATTGTATCTAAAATATGTGTTTTGGTGTCGATCATACGTTATACTATATTAAGTACACTAATTACTTTTTGGTTAACCCGTTCAATAAGACCCTGTTTAATTTTACCCATTTTCGAATTTTATACTGTTATTTGATTCACCTTAAAGGTCCACTTTTTCTTGATAGTTGTTTTATAGCACCAAATAAACTATGTCTTGATACTTGATATGCATGTTGTAAAAAGTAATCGTATTATTAAGAATAACGCATTTGTTTAATCTGTTCAGTTATACTAACTTTTAAACTTTCGCGTTTCATCTTAAGAACATTATATTTACGCGGGTATTAACGCGGAAAATTATAATTTGAATACCTTGGTAGGCTTGACGTTTCGACCCGGTTGCACAGGTCGTGGTCACAAGCAGACTGAAGACGCGATGTCACAGCTCCCTGCATTCGGGTGATGAATCTTCATCTACCCCCTTATTTTCATTTTCTACCATATTAGGCCGTCTACACACTACGCTGATTATATCCACAGATGTGTTAACCGACTTTGAAGGAAAGCGAGGTTGTGTTTTGCGAAGCACTGGATTCCACGTCGACGACAATTTAAAGCCGTCCTCCCGATTGAAATTATTTGGGCATTTCTTTATTTCAACCGCTTCACGCACAAGTCTTGTATGGTAGTGGCGATCAGTGGAGAGAATTTGCGGTCGGTGGAATTCTACCCAGTGATTAGAACCAGCCTGGAGCAGGTTTGAAACGTCAAGCCTACCAAGGTATTCAAATTATAATTTTCCGCGTTAATACCCGCGTAAATATAATGTTCTTAATCTGTTCAGTATCGAAATTTGCTCTATAGGAATCGCGTTTGATAAGCACCATCTTATACTAATTTATAAATAGCACTTTATTTTCCTGTCTTGGTCTTGTGAATCACAATCTCTATTTTGATATTGCTAGCGACTCGCCCCGGTTTCGCACGGGTGCAATGTTGATACTAAATTTATTCACTATTAGATTAATGTGATCACACTTATAATCTTCATCTTCAATAACTTTCTATTAATAAAACGACATCGAAGTCCGTTGCGTAGTTTGAAAGATTTAAGTGTACATGCAACTTTGTTTGATACCGCGGTATCACTCAAAATCACTTAAAAAATTACTTTATTAAAATCTTCATCTCTGGGTCCAAAATTGAACGTGTTAATCTAACTGACGTCACAACGCACTAACAGAGTGACTAACTCATATGACAGCTCCGCGCGGCCGTGGGCAGTGGCGTGCCTGTCTCCATGCGCAACCATCACTTACCTGTGAGTGTCCACTATCTTGTGTCTACATACACTCGTGTACACAGTGGCCTAATGTAGGAAAAAATAAATATAAGCGTCATGGTACATCTCGCATGTCTTCGAATGATAGCTGTCGTTTTTGCGATCCGTAGATGGCGCTGGTGATGTTTTAGATCTTGTTTGCAAAAAAAAATGTCTAGGCGCGATAGCTTTCTGTCGTTATATAAAAATATATTTATTATTGGTCATGTTATACTTATTTTTATTATTTGTTTCCCTCATTTCGTCTTGCAATTTGTCAGTTTTATATCAGATTGTCGCATGTGAGCACGGTGTAATAATGAAGGATAATATGCTTGTGCAAACAAGCTAAAATATCCACATACAATGTTATATTTCATCTATAATATTAAAAGCTTTGTCAATGCTTGTGTAATGGCCATTCTGTACAGGAGTTACTATAATAATAGGAACTCATGTTATACTGATGCCGAATACTCCCCGAATGATGCACGGTTTGTTTCGCTTATACACGCTACCGCTTATGAAATGCTAGCCCATTTTAAACGGCTTATTCATACCGAATGGGCTTATTTTAATCTCTTTATTAATAAAAAAAAAATTAACGAAAGAAAAATTAAAATTTGCGAGATTTTCTAAAATCTTTATTTATAGATTTAAAGTTCAAAATAACAGATAAGTGTTAGTGCCATAATTTTATTTGATTCATTTTATCTATGGCACGTTTTGACGTATCAATATCAGTTGAAGATGTATTGTTTTCTACCGTGAATTATTTTTAAATTTCGAATTATATTTGGAAATAATTATTTTTAGACAAATTTTATGTTCCTTTTAAAAAGATACTGATTAATGAAGATAAAAAATTGGTGTTTAAGTATTTTTTCCTTTTATATTCCAGTTTTTTTTTGTTTGTGATAAGTACTTATTATTTGGCATCAGTGTGCATCAGTTTTTTCTTAAAGCATTTTCAATTTACAATAAACAAACATTGAAAATGGTTTAAGATTTTAATTTTACTTAAATTATTCGTTGTTAGGAAATGCATTAATATTTCGAAATGTCTCTTAAAATATTTGTTTGTGATTAACCTTTGGTGAAAAATCTTCAATCACGATTTCATTTCATTATTTTACAAGCTAAAATTTGTCCTAACATTTTATATCTCTGTGTAACTCGGGTATATTTGTGGATGGTGTAATGTCAACTCATAACAGAGGGAATATAACTAGTTGTCTGTTTATTATATGTATACATTGTGATATATTACAGCCTCCTACGAGTCGGCCTTACTCGATAGCGACGACAGCCCCACTTCGCGTTGGCGTCGCACGACCTACCTCCGGCCCTGTACCTAAACAGCCATCAGGTGAGTTGACAAAGACCTCTGGGCAAAGACCTCTCCCTTAGCTACCCACGCCGAACGACAAGTTGCCACTCGCATCCATTAGCTCTCCGCAACTCTGACGAGGTCGTCGGTCCACCTAGTCACAGTATAAATATCATACAGTATTGTAACTCGGCCGCTTGAAAGAAATAAATACCTACAGCCGCGCGGTACGTAAACATGCGTTAGGGCTGCTCGTCTCCAGTATTTTAATTACCTTTGTCTACTTTCTGTTTCCATTTAGTTTTGTGATTGTAAATATCCTTTTTTTATATAAACAAATAAAGTGCTTTAAAAATAAACTAACAAAATTTCTTTGGCCACTAATGCCGAACTGAACAGCTGACTACGAATGTTCTAAAATCACAACCCTCAAACATCAAAATATTACATGAGTCTAGCTGTTTTATTGTTGTTATTAAATATTTTCTAGTATTATTCATAAACGCAGATAATAAACAAATATTATTAATAATAAAATACCACACTCTCTACTTTGAATTATACAAACTAACAAAACATACATGAACCGTTTTAACACAAGCGTAAGTAGGTAGGTACCTAACGTATCATGATTCATTCAGAACCAGAACCGCCTATAACTACCTATTTCACTCGTCTCAATAACTTTATTCATATTATTTATAAATTCAAACATCTGTTTTCGTGAGATAACTGGAAATAATGATCCATATAGACACACATTATATACCTACCTAGGCTACTAGTAAGTAAAATTATTTTATAGTCTTACCTTTCAGAGTTTCCAGGTAATTTAAAAAAAACTTATGTCTGGATGCGTTATTGACGAATTCATGCAACCAAACATAATAACAGCACAATATTACCTATTCGTCATATTAAATAATGTACTCGAGCTGATTTCTAAATAAAAGACAACACATCGTCCGTTCGTCACTGCGGTACAGCCGCGTCTGTCTGCGTCCCGAGCGCGTCCCGACATCGGGCGCGTAGGTATAGTTCGCGTTTCGGCCGTTTCTATGAAGTTGAAATACTTGTAGATATTATTACCTTGACCTAGTAGACCACGCTACGTCTTCCAGTCCGTGGTCGCCACTCGACCATTTTACTGACCTATCGGGAGTCAGTTCTTTGACACGGATCACTTGATGTTAAGCAATGGAACCACGCAACACCAGGGAAGTTGCAATACGTTGCTGGCCGGCGGTTGAGGGATTTTTTTTATGATATAAGTCGGCAAACGAGCAGACGGATTACCTGATGGTAAGCAACACCAAATGAGTTGCCGGCCTTTGGGGATAGGGGTTGCGGATAAAAGGAACGGGAAGGGATAGGGGAAGGGGAGGGATTGGCCCTCCGGTAACCTCACTCACATGGCGAAACACAACGCTGGGTTGTTTTACGCCGGTATTCTGTGAGGCCGTGGTATCACTCCGGTCGAGCCGACCCATTCGTGCCGAAGCTTGGCTTCCCATCCATCCCTTTCCATAAATATCCAAAACCTTTATCCCTCGTAATGATTTGGTGCTGCGGGTGTACACGGGCGGCGCTGATTGCTTACCACCAGGTAATCCATCTGCTCGTATACTTACCATGTTGATTCATTATAATCTGATATTTTCAGTGGCAGTAGTGGACCAGCCCCGCCCTGTATCGAGTACGGCGGCGCCAGAAGCGCGCGTGTCCGCGTTACCCCGCCCCTCACGACTACCCGCTCCGCGACGCGCGCTGCGGTAAACAATAACAATATTTAATTTATAAATCAAAAAGACATGGCAATGGTATTAATATCCTATTTCAATAGGATTCCTTATAACTTATTAGAATTTGACCACATATTTAATTTCAATATAATAATTATTTTTTTGTAATTTGCACCGCGTTAACGGATAGTGTGTTGATGAAACATATATTAATATGAGTTTATCCAATTAGATTAATTCAAACCATCAAGTAAATCTAGAGAAGGTAGATAACGTCAAGTTTTTATTATAATCGCTTTAACGTAAAGCACACTCACACACTAAGCTCTCTGTAACCATTTCCATTAAGGCTTAAAGCAAAATAGTACCCACGATACTAACTTGTACTAACATTGACTCCACAGACCCCCGTCAGTGTACTCCGTGGCGCCTACGGCGGATATCGACCACTACTGACATTTAGCCTGCTGTGCCAACCTGCTGGGCCGGCGACCCTAGCAGTAACTAAATTATACAAGTAACATGACTGATCCACTCAAAACACGGTGTCTTTCTAACTTTTTGTACTGCCTAGACATTAAATTTTGGCTTTTTTAACAAATTTTTGGTAAATTTTATTACCCAAGTATTAAACTCTGATATCATTATTAATTGTAGTGTTGACCAATTTAATGAATGAGTAAATTGAGTACCTTTGGCACGTATCAATGCGGAGACAATAATTTGTTGATACTATTCGGACATTGTTATTTCAAATTCAATAAATTCATACATTTCAATTTCACTAGTTTCTCATGACCATTTCATTTTTTGAATGTTGTGATACAATCCTATGTGGTTTTCATTTTATTTGTACACGTATTGTATTTAATTTTCGACATTCAAAGTTTTACATGTGAAAATTTTGCTAATGTCTTTCGATGGAGGTGCGAAATTACCTTTTCATACGATGAAAAGATTGACATTTTCAACCTCTGCCTATCTATAAGTTCCATTTCTCATCAATCAATGCTCTCTCGCGCCATCTCATTGTCGAAGAAGCTCAAAATTGTAAAATTTCTATCTAAATCATGATTTGGTACAAAGACATACAAATTAAGATATTATTCCTATATTATTATTTACAAATTTAGTGAGTAGTGTATCAAATGTTGGTTTAGTAATTTATTTCATAGTAAGAGTTTTGCATTTTGTTTCAACTAGAGATTGTATTCATGTAGGGACATGTAATTTAATCACGCTTTAGATATAAAATTATATTATATACTATTTAATATAACGCTCCTTTGTATACTAATATAGAAAAATTGTATACACGGCACATTTGACACATAGATATTTTTAATAAAAATGTAAACAAACAAAAATAAATATATCGAAATTGCGCCTTTTATCTCACATTCACGTTTATGCACAAATTTTATGTATATTTATATAAATACTCTTTTGTAAATTGTGTAAATTTCAGTGTTGCTATACTGTTAGAGTTAAACGTTATGAATCCTCTGCTTCCTATCACATGTATATTGAACAATTAAATATAAACATATCGGTGTTAAGGAACTTGTGTATCCGACGTTTGTTCGTCCTTGTTTCAGATGCTTTATATTATGTTATTTTGTTAAATAAATGTTGCGTCTACTTGTCTATACAGCGATGTTGTCCGCCCAAATTACAGTATTTCGTGTAACCAGCAATAAATAGCGCAGTAGCATTATGTATATTTTGTAAGCATGTATATGAACAGGATTGTTTGTTTTTGTGTAAAAATCTATGTGCATATTGTGCTAAACCTTTGTTCCCGCTGTCGTGAGGTCGCGCTGAGTGCGGGCCAGCCCTCGCGGTTGTTTGAACACGTCGTGCCTTATTTAGGTAGTGTAAGGGATTTTGTTTTCATTTTCTAATAAAACTCTATATTTAATGATTTATTGTTTTATTGCTGTGTGGACCAGTTAAGGGGAGAAGTATCTCAATTACGTAAGTATGAGATAGAGGAGGTATTTGAAGGTGTTAACCACCTAAGTTTGACAACGAAACGTCAGTTTTTACAATATCTGTGGTAAGACAAGTTCGTTATCAACCGAAATTAAACTTTTCATAGGTATGGAAACATCGTTTGAAAATTGCTGCCAAGTGCAAATCAGTCGAAGAAACTCAAACACACACACATATTAGGGTTGTATTAGTTTTAATTGGCCATATTATCAGATAATTATTAGTGTACATAACTGTTTGATCAACCCCCAGTGTCACGTTAAAAAGTAATTAATCGGCTCTTGACCGCCACGACCTTTAAGTAGCAGACAAAAAATATTATTTTGAAGTACAAAATGTACTTTATGTATCCATGTATGTGTGGTTTTTGTATTTCTGTAGATCAAAAACCCATGAACTAGCAATGAAAATACAAGTGCTCTTTAGTAAAATATTAACAAATCTTATAAGAATTAGATAAATTATAAACTGCCATCACGCCATTCCTACTTATCTATCAGTAACAAGAAATGTTCATCCTAGATGGCACATACAGACATCCCTTTTGCTAAAATATATGTAGGTAGGTACCTACGTAAGTATGGCCGCTAAAAGTAAGTTTAAGAAGTCTTCGCGTCTATTGTACTTACAAATATAATCGTACTAACATAAAACGGGCAAGTTTTTAAGTATGGATGTATAAATGGTTCCTCTATATTCGTTTTAGTCTTTGGATGCTTGGTTCATGAAACTACTGAATGGAGTTAAATAAAATATAGTCTGGAATGACACATTTATTTATTTATGGGATATGGGATGGGATAATATTTTTGAAGTTAAGCCAGCGAAGCGGAAGCTAGTTGATAGTAATGGATACAACACCAACACGTTGTTAGGTAGTTGAGTCAAGGGCTTGATGCTGAAAGCAGTACTTATTGACACGGCACTTATTGTCTGGGGATTCCTTTATCTGGGGCCTTGATTGACTACCAGTGGCTTGGACAAAAACGCAATTACAAATTTAAATCTCGCTATAGATTTGACGTTATTTTTTTATTATTGAACGACCGTTCTTGGACATAGAATAGGTATACATTTTATTTATTCATAACAATAACTTAAAACGCCTATCTAATATATAATAATATAAGTAAATCAGTGAATTTCAAATTATATGCAATAAGTAAAAATTAACCGCGTTTAGTTTGGAAATTTGGCACGCTAGGCAAAAACGGAGTACCTACGTCCGAGTGCGGACGCGTTCTTTATAATAAAAAAAAACTTGTTAGGTAAACGAATGGGCAGGTTCGAGGAAGAAGGTGTGAAAATGCGAGGCGATCGCCGTTTGAATGAATTTACCGGAAGCCCATTCCTCCCCCCCCCCTACTTTTCTTAATTCCCAAATCTCCTAACCCATTCTAACCCCTTAATCCCAAGTACCTACCTCTCAAAACACCGGCAAAAGTTTTCGTTTGCCATCCTATACATAAAAAGGCAATCCAACTGAGTAAGTACCTACCTAATTAAGCGGAGAAATTATAATTATCCTTATGTATTATGGAAAGCCGACAGCGGTCAAATGTATGAAATAATGATTCACTCATCTGTTTTTTACCAGTATTTATAAATAGCCATGATTTTTCAGTAAAAATACTACTTAGACTTAAATACAACGTAAAACTTTTAAAAAAGTCTAGAAAAAAATAACCGTTGGTGCCCATTCCGAAAATGACTACAGAGGAACTTAGTCTTCAGATCAGAATTGAGAACTCATTATATTGAATGAGATTTAGCTTTGATAAGCTTTACACTAAGCATAAAATAATTATTTTAAAGTTTTCTGGCATTACTCAAAGTTGTTAATTGTTTGGATTACTATTAGAATTGTATAAAAACATTTCTCGTCCGATTCACATTTTATGATTCGTAACAATATAGGGAAATTCAAACTCAGTGTTGCAATAGTCAAAACACTCAAGTTGGAATCGGACCGACTTTTACGACGCTAGCGCCCAACTGTCACCTTGACTTTAGTTGTGTGTGTGTGTGAACGAAATCGCATGTTACGTTAGTGAGTGTGCGACGTCGTGAGTGCTGTCTACGAGTAATTTTTGCTTTTTACCTTTTTATTTTTATAAATAACTGATGTAGACGAAGTGATTAGTAATGTAATAACCTCAAGTGATAAGAATTGTGATATATCGATGCAATGGCTCATAAAATACGCAGTGTTTTCATCTACTATGTGATCCCGTGCAATAACTCGTCACTTCGGTTGTTTGTCAATGACGTCTGCGTTTAGCGCAGCAAAAAGTGGAATTTTAGTTTGATTGTGACAAGTAGTGCAAACATAAATTATATAAATCGTGTAAATAGATGAGTGATCGTAAAATGGATGAGTGTCTTCTTCATTGGAACGTTCTTTTATCAACTGGGGCCAACAGAGGTGGCTCATGAAGAAAGGGTTAGTTTACCTGTTTATGTTTACTTTATATATTGTACACATCTGTGATTATACATGTAACGTCTATTAATATCTTAATTACGGCATCGTTGCGAAAGTTGTGTGCATATTTATTTGAGGGGTATAGGTTATAATAAGGTGTAGAAGTTGTTTGTTGACTCACAGACCTTTAATTATATAATTTGTTTTGGTAATGATTTCTAATGTTTAAGTCAGGTACCATAAATGCGGATGCAGTTACTACTATGTATTGAGGCTGGGATGTGTTATTTTTCTTTTGTTACTTTCTCTTATCCATGGAGTGAAGGGAGTGAGGGAGATAGACGTATACCCGGCTCGAGGCGTGCGAAAGGGAAGACGCTCTACAGAGCAAGTTGTATGGCCATGTTTAGATATCCAATAGTGGTATGAAAACTTTAACTTTTGCTCTTTTAGAAAAATGTACCATATATTTTACTTAATGAAAAGTTGTAGGAGCGACTTCAATGTGGAGTTTAAATGACAAAATATTAGCTACAGGAATAAGTTGTGCAGGTCCATGTCTAGGCATACTTTAGCTATGTTTATTTAAATTGCTAATTAGTCCACCTATAAAACAGTACAGTTAGGACTATTGTGAATGAGAATTTGTCACTTTATAACCATTTTCTTAACACATTTACAATGTAATACCTTATTACTTTATTACCCAACATTAATTTAAGATTGTGTCAAAAATGTTGCAAAAAATATGCAATATACATTCAATCTTCTTAGTAAAAATAACACTTTCATTTGTTAATTTTTCTAAACGGCTACATGTTACACTGTATGCTAAATATATCATAATGGCAGTAACAATTTTAAAAAAAGCTAAGATCGCAGTATGACTAATCCTGTAAGTTCATCTTAAAATAAACTACCTATCATTGACCCCAATGGTCATCTTATAACCATAACAAATATACTATACATAATTTTAACATAACTCTTCATACTTCTATTAATGAAATTAATAATTTGGACATCACTAGTTAAACCCTGTTTGAAATCTCCATCATTGTAATTGGTGGTTACATTTTATTTATAAATAAAAGTATACATTGTACACAAAGAGTATTAAAAACAAATTCAACAAGTTTAGGTCTTATAAAGTTGCCAAATATAGTTTAATCAATATTAAGTATTTACTTACAAGAATTTCCAAAGAAACTATGGTAGATAAAGTGATTATGAGCTTAAGTGACAACTATTTTGTTACTTTTATATGAAGAATATATATCAAATTATCCATTTAAACTCATAGTCACTTATCAGGGGAATTGTGAAACAGAACTGTATGCTACCATTAGATTAATCACCAATGGTGAAATACTCTTATGCTCTTTCCTTCAAACAGTGTTAATTTCACTTTTAACACCTGTGAGTTTATATCCTCATTAATTGCTACAATATCAAGGACTATATTTACAGCTGTTTGAAACAAGTGCGAAACAGGTGTTTATGCAAATTTTCATACTGTAAACACCAGGCATTTGAGATTGTGGATGTTTAAAAATCTTATATTTTTTTAAATTAAAAAGCAGGTTTGATATTGGGCATCATTCTATCACAAACTACAACTTCTTTACTATCATTTGTACAACATATTCGTAATTCTAACTCCTGCTTTATTGTCTCTGGTCTTCCCCTGTAAAACTAAAATTTTTAATTGTTTTTTGACAGTAACTTTAATTCAACTAAATAAATATTTCTCTACAGTCCTTTTATTTATATTATTACAAACAATTACAAATTAATTATATTGCTAATAAAAAATCTTTAGGTGTCCATCTGTCCATCATTGGCCACATCTTTGCCAGGCAAGTTGGTGCCCTATTGTGGATATAAATTTTTCCCAAACACATGTACTAATGATGACATTATTACTTTTGCCATCTATCCCTTTCCTCTTCTTTGATAAAGCCAAAGTCAAATCTTTCATTTAAAATATATCACCATAGGCATATTCAAATGCCAAACAATATTATAAAGCTTAACTTTTTGTGTCAGTCTGTCTTCTAGTGAAGCTATTTGCTTGTTCCAAAGTGTAGATTTCAATGAATATTTTCATCTTTCACACCTCGCTCCATTGTATCTAACCAAGGCAGATAAAAAAAAACTTTAATTGCTAACTTGTCTAAATTGAACATAACTAAATATAGTTCTATAACTTAAATAATTGTATCTCTATGATCACTACATAAATTTAAAAATATATGTTGTAGTAGGTATTGTAAGTATGTAAGTGTACATAACTACCTCCCATATTAAAATTATTCAAGATTATAATACTCAGTCGTATTAGCTGCATAAATAATGATATGAATTAATTTATAAACTCAACTTAGTTTTGAATAAATAATTGCTACACTATGAATGAGCACCATTATTTATGTTGGCAACATTATACAGTTTAATTATCATTAAGTAATTTTGTATTATAATACCATTTAGCTTATTTAGAG